AACTATCATCAAGAGAGTTAACCGAGGACAGGCGGACACGAAGGAAGGCCACGGGCACAAAGGTTCAGGCGGGAGAACTATCATCAAGAGAGTTAACTGAGGACGGGCGGACACGAAGGAAGGCCACGGGCGCAAAGGTTCAGGCGGGAGAACTATCATCAAGAGAGTTAACCGAGGACGGGCGGACACGAAGGAAGGCCACGGGCGCAAAGGTTCAGGCGGGAGAACTCTCATCGAGAGAGTTAACTGAGGACGGGCAGACACAAGGGAAAGCCAAAAGATATTAATCAAAGATAGCAAGCCATACTACAGGCTCGCTACTAGTGGTTAAGCTAAGACTAGTAAAGCAAGAGCAAGAAAAGATAAAGAGGAACGAGGTATCAATGTCGTTCTCTTTCGTAGTCTGGAATGCGGAGTAGTAAACAATCTGAAGGTTACTTCACGATAAACATGAGAGCAAGGAGTGGACGTAATTCCTAAGTATATACAAAGGTAGGAGATTACCAGATTGCGTAAAGAAAGTAAAATATCAAGGGGCACACCCCATAGATATATCAAAGGAAATCCCTCAATCTAACGGAGCTCCTCTGAGCTCAACTCATAACAACACCATAGGAAATCCTCCGATCTATAATGTACGTCCTTCATGTACATTCCAAAACACTAAGGAGATCCTTCACTATATCCGACCAGGCGCAGCTCTTTTCTCTTGCTACGTGGGGGTGCCACGTACTAATCCAGCTTGCCGCGCAAGGTCAACCAAGTCTGTCATACCACACCCATTCCCTCAAGAATGCGGATCCTGAGACTGCGCAGAGTGCCTCCAGGTATGAAACGCACGACAAGAGTGAAGAAAATTTGGTGGCCGTGACATACACCATAGTCCAAGGTTAACATTGCCCGATAGAGGGAATTAATAAAGGCGAAGGGCGGTGGAATACTGGGGAGCAGACATTACCCTGAAGTAATTAGGGGCTAGACGGGAACATGGGGTAGTGTTCATAGTTCGTGTACAGGATGGTTATAGCACTGAGCCTGAGGGGATCAAATAACTGTAGCTAAAGTACTATGTCAAATCATTCTGTACGATCAGTGATTACTAACTGACACCTCAAAACACCTCACTCCTGCAAACCACAACCCCTCTACAACAATGTCTCCCCACAAGACTGACCATCTCACAGATTATGAGAAAGGGCAAATTGTTGCTCTTAGGGAAAAAAAAAACCTCTTTTTCTGAAATTGGAAAGTTCTAACAGCATCCTAAGAGTACTATTGCTACTTTTTACAACTGTTACCAGATGAGAGGTAATGAGAAAAACCTTCCAACCCCAGGCAGAACCAAAATTATTGATACCAGAACCTGCCACCACCTAGTCAGAGAGTCCAAGAAGGCCCACCACCAGACTTTATCTGAATTGCACAATGAGGTTGTTCCACATGCCTCTGTGAGCACTGTTAGAAGAGCTTTGGCATCTGTCAACATCAAGAAGTGGAGGCTAGGAAGAGAGCTTCTTTGAAAGATCAGCATGCTATCAAGAGGTTAGCTTGGGCAATGGAGTATAGGAATTGGACAAAGGAGGATTTTGAGGTGGTCATTTTTAGTGATAAATACTCAGTTGAAAAGTCTAAAGATCCTAAGAGTATTTGGGTCTTTAGAACACCTGAGAGAAAGTGGCACAAAGACTATATCAATAAGGTTACAAAAGGACCTGGGATAAAGCTGATGGTCTGGGCTTACATTTGGGGTAAAAATAAGAGTCCTCTGATATCTATTTTTGACAAGAGTGTGGATATATTTGTATATATTTGAGTTTTAGAGGATGGTTTAGTTGATACCTAGCAGGAGGTAGAGGACACAGTTGGAGATCCTATCTTTCAGTAGGATGGTGCAAAGATACATACTGCAAGAGATACCATGACTTAGCTTATAGAAAATAACATACAGATTATAGAATGGCCACCCAATTCCCCAGATCTCAATCCTATTGAGCACTATTGGAAAAGGGTCAAGGAAAAGCTGCATCAGTACTTTCCTAACATTCACAAGACTAAAGGAGATCCAGATACTATTAGAAAATGTCTAGCAGAAGCTCTGAATCAGGTTTGGACTCAGGATATAGAAGGGGATTTTTTGGAAAAGCTATGGGAGTCTATGCCTAAGAGGGTAGCTGCTATTCTGGATGCAAGGGGATGGTACACAAAGTATGAAATTTTTTTCTCTGTAATTTTTTTTGGGGGTTTCTTTGCATTTATTTAATATATATCTAAAGTTTCTACACTTTTTGAACAATTGTGGTTGAGTAGGTGGCATATTTATGGTGGTAGTGGGGTTGCCGTAGCGGTGTCGTACGGAACGATTTGGTATCGTACTTTACATTCTTGATGTAATCCTCTGGGATGGTAGAGTGGGCATTGGTGATGGCCTTAATGCCCATTGGCGTCCCCTTTTTTGATTATCAAAAGGACGCTGCCATTTCAATTTAGCTGTGACCGGAGTCCAACAATTTGGCGGCCAAGAAACCGCTTTACTTCTGTATCAGGAGAAGTCTGTTTGTAGAAATGGTCTGATATTAGAGTATTCTCGGCTAAGCCTTATTCTTATCTATCGGGGTGCCCAGCATGCAGCGCAGGTTTTCGCAATAGATATCCAGCACTCGAGGAAGAAATAGAGCATCGTCCAACAGCCTTGAAGCCTCCTCCCTCAGGGCGATACTAGTAGACGAGACAACAACAGCTCCCAATCCACTCTACTCCCTCACCACCGGTAGGGCCTTTCCACCCCAGCCAGACGGCAGGTTCTCTATTCCCTCTAAAAGCTCATGCATTTTTTTTTTACTCTTCTTGAACTTAGTCGATATTCCCCCAAGCAGCTACCCCCCGCATCAAGCATATTCTCAACACCCGGCTCCACCCCATCCCCGGCAGCACCCAATCACTGGCCAACCACTTCTGCAGCTCGGCCAACCAACTCTGGCACTTTGCGTACAGTCCGACATTACCGCAGTGAAAAACACGTTGGTCGGCATCCATATGCATCATTGCAATCTTAGTCGGGTTCAAGGGAATAGTTAGCTTGCACTTACTCCACTTCCTCCAGCAGGTGGGCGAGAATTCGGGGTCTGGGCCCCGGAGGGTCCTCTAGTTCGAGCCATACATTTGTGAGATAGTGACATCTGCGATCAGAGATGTCCGGTTCCCTACCGATGGGGGAAGTTTGATGTGAGACATCGCCAACCAGCGACTTCCGTGTAGTTGGGTGTCCGAAAGAGACTAGGAGAGACATCCGACAAGTCGGTAAGCATGCTGTCCCTCCCGCAAGCAGCTCTCGGGATACCAGTAGATAGCTAGAAGGTAATATCAACAATTGGCCTAGGCGGGAGATTGACTGTCGCGGAGGTCCTCTGTCCTGAGTAGTAAGGAGTAGTTCCAGGAATTAGGTCCGTGCTTATATGGGGACCGTTTGAGTCGGATGAGACATGATATTTATTGTTCAAACTAATAATAAGTTTTTGGAACGCGCAATAATCTCCATTCCCGAATTTTATCTCTGTATTGTGTAGGTAACAGAAACCATACACGAGTGTTCTGTGACTTTGAAAGTCGGAATAAAGATACAATCATTTACGGCTCGTAGTCTCTGTCCATCATGTCTACCCGCCCCTCATGGTCTCCGACTGCCCGGCGACACCTATCAGCAGCGACCTGCTTAATATACCGTCCCAGGTTGCTGATATAGTTACCCCAATCGATAGGGATATGCTCATTGTCGGAGGCGATATTCATAAAGTCTTTCAAATGAAAGTGAATATATGTCGTATTTGCCATGTTTAGGAGATTCTATACAGGTCAGCAGGAACCACTTTACATGCATTGAGATCTTGTTTGACAAAAAAGTAACCGCTTGTTTTTGTGACAATTGCAGCTACAAAAATTGGCTTGCTTTGGGTTTGAAACAGAAGGGAAATAGGTACTTTATATAGGAAAATGGAATACAATGGTTATATTCAAATGGAGTTTAAGGGAGTAACTTACTATGCGACCGGGTGACATACATGTAGCCAATTTGGTAACTGAATCTCTCTTCCAAATTTCCATGAAACCTGTTACCCTTCCAACCCACTGGAGGCCTTTGTAACAAGCCGGCCCGTATGGCCCTTGAAGAGTAAAGGTTTCCATACTAATTTCTCGCCTTGGCGGAAATCCGAGCTGAGAAAACTCCTCATTGCAGAGGTTTCGAGTCGGGCATTTATAGGCCGGATTCTCCTCCATATTCACAATCATAACGATACAAGCAGCCTCTCGACCCTCAATCCATTTCTTGGCATCTTGAACAAGCATGCTATAGGGCTCGGTAAATCCAACTTCCAGGATAAACTTAACCTCAGTGACTCCGGCATCGTTGGTGATTTCCACGGCAGTATCTGGAGTTTTCTCGGACCCATCATATGCTCCTTGAAAGTCGGTATAGTTTTGGTTTGTTACAATATCCATCTTTCGACGATGGCTGGCTGGAAGACTCCTACGTGCAAGATGAAATCCTTCTGAAACCGTGGACACAGCTTTTTCGTGAATGGGACTTGGCATACATTGAATGGTAAGAAGCGAGGATAATGTATCGTACGAATATTTTGGGAACCTAGTGCTGTTGAGTAAATAACTTACAATTGGAGTGATGGAGTCATACCTTTCATTCTCATCGATATCCAGGGCTCTCTTGAAATCAAGAAAATATGGTATCGTCATTTTCATAGTCAATCCGTTCTCTCTGCTCTCAACAGAACTGAAGGCTCCTTTTCCGGAATGCCAATCCTTAAACTTCTTTACACATTCCTGTGTGAACGCTGACTTAGGTTCACTTATAGGTGCAACCTGCTCCTCGTTAACGGAAGTAATATTTTTGACCACAGGAATACGGTTGCGAGGAAGAAATGGAGTCTTAAAACGAGAGGGAACATAGTTGTAGGAAGTGGACGATTGGCATTGAATGGGCCTGGGAGAGGAATTGCCAGGGGTGAAGTAAATATTTGGGTTTACCGAGTGGGAGAGCGGGCCATCGTGCCTCAAAGGGGAATGTGGTTGATAGTCCATACTGGTAGAGAAGGTGAAACAAACAAGGGTAGAAAAGAGAACGAGTACACAAAAAGTGGAAAGAATGGGAAAAAGACGGTTTGGAGCAAACAAACTCCCCCGTAAATGTCAGCCAGAGCAGTTGGAACGGCTTTCTCGACAGTACTGGTGGTAGTGGGAGGTTGTCCGTGAGATGAGCAAGAAAGGTTCAAGGGATACGTATTTATTTCCCGTTCTCAATTCGGCCACCTTTACACCACACCTCCAAACCGTTAGAGGGGCTTGGCAACACCTTCCCCTCTGTTGTTATTGGTTCCCCCCGCAATAACGGTAAAACTGCCTGTGGATGAATATATTCAACAGATAGACGAGAAGTATGGTGACTACCTCCCCGCCTCTCTGCAGGAGGTGAGCAAATACTGAATTTACGACAGTTGCTATAGCCACCCGACCCAGCCACTGTATCCCGGCGAGACGCTTCCCCATTTTCCACCCAAGCACGCCTGCGTAGGAGGCCTGATACGCACAGGTTGCCCAGCGAATTACGCACCCCCGAGGAGTAGGGGCGGAAGAAGGAGGAGGAGAAGGTGATGGTGGTGAGGACCTCCGTGACGATGGCTCTCCTTGTACCTTTCTGACACACCTGCTCACTTACATTGATCGGTTTGCATTGTCACAGACCGGACTTCCACTACAGTCACCTTTGCATGTAGCAAACGGCGCAGGCGACTCTCAGCGGTCCACATCGCCAATTCTTGCTCACCTACACGAGGAAGCGGAGCCAGCACCAGTTCACTATCCCCTTAAACCAGATTAACAGTCAATGTCGGGTAAGGATGCCGACGTGTTTATCACTTTGGTGATGCCGGCACTGCATGTGCAGTGCTTGAGTTCGTTGACTGAGTTGCGGAAACGGTTGGGCGGCGATTGGGTGCTCAGTGGGAATGGAGGGAGTCGTGTGTTAAGAATGTGCTTGATCTGGGGGGTGAGGGCTCTGCGGTAATGGCTTGGCGGAGTATTATCGAAGCGGAAGAGGAGGTAAGAAAGGATGAGCTTTCGGAGAAAACTGGGAAGCCGCTACCTGGCCCAGATCGGCGAGCTCTGCCGGCGGCGAGGGAAAGGAATGGATTGTAGGCTGTTATTGTCGCTAGGCTCATCGTTCTTAGGGAGAAGGTTTCCAAGCTCTTGGATGATACTCCATTTATTCCCTGAGCGCTGGATATCTATTTCGAAAACCTGCCGCACACGCCGGGTCCCCGCGACGGAAAAGACGAAAGCTCAGATGAGAAACCTCTACAATTTGATCATTTCTACAAACAGAGTACTCTTGATAATGAAGTTGTTTTTCTGCCGCCGCTGGGCCATTGAACAACTCTGGTCGCGTCTAAATCTGAAAGGTGGCATTCTTTTGGTGATCGAGAGGGGCACGCCACCGGGCCCCGATACCATTACTGCGCCCGCTCTACTATCCTAAAGGACTACATCAAGGACATTGGCGAAGCTTTTGAATCCTCCCTACTACAAATACCTACGGCTCCGCCAACAAATCCCCTATCGAAAAGGGGCCCGGCGCTATTATCTCCCCGTGCATGAACCACCAACAATGCCCCGTGTTCGTCTCCTGCCCCATGGACGGTACCCATGGCACCCAACGTAAAGACTACTGCTGCTTCCCACGGCACTATGAGAGCCCCAGCTATCTGCAAAGACTCATGAAGGAGATATCCAAAAACCACAAGGCCCTCCAGTACTCATACGTCCCCTTCTGTCGTGGCGTCGACCACCGAACCGGCACGAAGAACAAGATCAGCCCCGACAATAGCGGACTTTGGCACAGCCCCTGTCGATGGCGAACCCGACATGCCAGCTCAAAGCCCATACACAGCGTCACAACTCCACAGTTACACTCTAACCCTCCCGCGCATCATTCTCTCACCCATAGAGCACGATAGGCATGTCATACTCGACGTGTGCACCCTGACAAGCTCCATCGAGCGCTGGGTTGTCCCAATGAGGCTCGGGAAAACCGGAGTTCCGAGATGCGAGGAAGAGTGGATCGGGTGGTCTTTGGGTCCTTGGAGTGGAACCTCGCATAGGACGGACCATTGGGATTGGCGATGGCAACAGAAGGCTCAAGCGAGAGCTGATTGCCATCCAGGACCCTTATGGTGACGGGGTGAGGGCTATTGTCAAGGATAAGATGGCCGCCTTGCTGAAGGCTCTGGTGAAGGAGGCGAAGGAGGCGAAGTAGGTCGCAAGGCTTCAGAGGAAGCTGGAGGCTAGGAAGAGGAATACCGAAATGGTTAGCCAACACAAGGGGAAGGAAAGGAAGCTATAGGAGAAGGCAATGGCAGAGAGGAAGGCCAGAGAGATGTGCGGAGAGATGGTTTGAATGCGCAGAGAGAGGAAGAGGAGGGAGCATCGGGAGATGTAAATGTGGAAAAAGGAGTAGGAGGGGACGAAAAAGGGAGGGGGGTACAGATGTGGTTTTGCGCTCACAATGTATCCGCATTTTCATATCCGGAACGTAGGCTACAGGTAGGAGGTGTGCATATATGAGGCTTCCCGATTTTCGTAAATTATTTATCCAGCTCTGATAAAGTGTTATCCATAGTAGTAATTGACGGCGGTTCATGGGTCGGTGAATCGTTGGAAAGGTCGAGTGATTGTCAATAAAAGGACCCCACCATTCCCGAAAGCGATCTCTTCCATCACCATCCGGCATCTGTGGGGATTGGGGGGGATATACCGGCGTGTTTGTGATATACCCGTAAAACCCGAAATAATTGAGAATCTCGCCAGGGCGTTAGAGTTGCCTCTCTTAGTAAGGCCCGTGTCTTAAGCGAGAGCTGAAGAAGAATATTCTGACTGTGTTTTCTCCCCCTAATCTAAAGGAGGAAATTCTGCACGTCCTGGCGCCGTTCTCAATTATTTCGGTTTCTACGGTACTCGTGCGTGGTCACGTGCTGGTAGCGGTGGGGTTGGCGGAGATGGTATCTTTTGCAATTTTTTGTTGGGTGGTTAGGGATGTCAATGTGGGGTTCTCCATTAGTGGATTCTATCAATATTATGATTTGATGGGCTTTCTATATATTCTTGCCTTAGGCTAGCCACGAGCCCACTCTCATCCACTCGGTTGAGCAGATGCTGTGGTCCTTCGCGGGACATGCGCTGGGAAAATAGGTGTTTGTCTATCGAGTGATGTTTTGTGATCTTGCTGATTATATTTATACCCAGAAGGGGCTGGTGGCCATATAGGGTGTCCGAATCTGTCACTGGATGAACCCCGTAAGGGGAGGTCTGTCTGTCTGTCTGTCCACTTCACATGTGCTATTTTGAGCTCTTCGCCGGGTGGTACATTTCTAAGTACAGGGAATAGGGGGGCAGGCTGGTTTGTCGGTTGGCTGAGGAGAGCAGCGAAGTATGCAAATTCCGGATTATTTTTCTCCTATTTGATTATTTTTTTCACGGCAGGTCTTTTGGGTGTGGTGTGTCTGGTCTCGTCTATCACAGTACAGTATAGTTATTTACAATGGATACTTGATTCGCACCACAGTTTATCATGGTTACCCAGCATTGGCTCTAACACAGCTATATTGTCTCGTTCCGAAGAAGCCCCTTCATTCTACTTTTCCTCCTATCCACCGGCGGACGGAACAGTAAGGCGCACGGGCTCTCTGGTCCCTCTTTCGAAATGGTGAGGGCTACCACTAGTATGGGAGTTGAAAGATTCCTTTGATACTTGCTCATGGTGAGTAGGAAGGGCTCTGCCATTGTTGAGTAGCCTTTCAGCGAGACTTGCGGAGGCACTCTTTCCAACCAATCTTGCTAGGTGTGCTATTAGGGGGGGTGGGTAATCGGTCTCAGCTATATATGATATTGTGCGATCGTGCTATTCATGGAGTCATGTTATTAAGTTTGTACATAGTTGCTCACAACTGCCCCAAGGACCCTTGCACTACAGTACACCGCTTTCCTTCTATCTGGACAACACCGCATACGTTTATCTATTGCGCAAGCAAGAAGAAAGAACAACGCTAGGGGCAAGAATGTATGGCTGGGAAAAAATCAAATATGATGGGATACAAACCTGCAGGGTATAAACTAGACTGTCGCAGTAACGGAACTGCTTCCAAACTCTACCGTACTCGGGAAAAACAGAAATTCATAAACCCAGGCATGACCTGGGAAGTAAGCAAGTCCCCAGGGAGGTTCACATTTGCACGGTAGCATAAGTGCATTCTGGGCTCGCCTCCTGTGATTTTCTTCGATCTCAAGGGGGAGGATGTCCCAGAAGGCCTCCATGAGTAAGGCGCTGGGGGAGAGAAGGATCGGTGGCGGGTTTGCTGAGATGGTGTTTTCTGGGCCTCGAATCGCACTCAGGGTTACCACTTGGTGGGATCGTAGTAGAGCTACCACCATCTGCTGGCCACGCCTAGCGGCAAATGAGAGAAAGGCGTTTGGCCGGTGTCTGGCTAGTCGGGATCGACATCTTGCGGCATGAGTTGTATTCTCACCACTCCCTCATGCCCATTCCAGGCAACGAACGAGAGAGGTGTTTGGCCGCAATCATCTGACCTGTCGGGGTTGACCTCTTCCCGCATGGGTAACATTTTCACCGCTTCCCTGTTCCCTGTCCACTAATGGCGTGTTTCTGAGCACAGTATTGTCCGTTGCCAAAATTAACCGGAAACAACGAACACTAATAATTTTTACCCCGCGGCAACCTCATCAAGAAATCCAACCCCTCCAACATCAACCAGAAAAATAATTAAAAAATAAATAAATACATGGCAGTAATCAGTACTTAGTATACCATCCATCAGCCTTAATAACTGCATCTATCCTATCTACCATAGATCCTGCCAGAGTATCAAAGACCTTTGGGTCAAGAAGCTTCCAACAATAAGTAATGGCCTCCTTGATTGCCTTTTTGACCACATCCTCAGGACCCTTCATGAGATAGAGATTAGGATAATGCTTAGAAAGTTTATCCTTAATCAGAGACCTAATGTTCTCAATTGGATTGAGATCTGGTAAATAGGGAGGAATTTCCTGTAGTGTAATTCCATGGTCTCTGTAACGTGTTCGTGCCGGGACACTACTCCTGGGGTCATATGCTAGGGGAAACGGGAGTCTACCAGAAACTCGAAAGTTATCGCGCTAGCGGAGGCTTCAATAGAGGTGTACTTGGAAAATAGGTAACTGTTTAACCGAGTATATTAAAATACTGTCTGTCGAAGTCTGCTGTTTCCATCCTGAAAACAGCAGTCTTTAAATACATAATTTGTTTGAGTATGATCATGAATTCTCACTCATGTTCTGAACTCAATCAAGTTATAAAAATAACCAAGTATCAACTGATACTTTAAAACAAAACATAAAACAAACTAAACTAACTGAGCAGCTGCTCTGGTTACAGTCTCTGAGCCATCTCCTGAAGGGCAGATGAGTCTTAGCCTTGTCAATGATTAAGAAGACTTCTTCTTCTTCTAACTCTTCTTTAATCTCCTTCCATATACCTAGAAAGTCATATTGATCATAAACATCAATAATACACTTTCCAGTAATTCCACCACTAGCTGAAGAAGGATCAGGAAAAACTAGAAGAAAGAGACTATGTTTTTGGCCATGAAAAAACCCAGTTATCATCTGGCTAATCTTTCTCTCTCCAGTCCTAGCAGTAGGCTCAACACAGTCCTTATTCTGCTGCTTCTTTGGATATCTAAATATCTACTTCCTCCTTTTCCCTCCTCTCCTCTCAACTGTAACCTCATCTCCCTACTTTGCTCTCTTCCTCCACATCTCTCTAGACCAATACCTGTGGGCTAATGCCCATTCTAACCTTTTCTCAGCAATAGCCTCATCCAGATGTACCCTCTCCTGAGCCAGCTACTTTTTGAGTTTTTTTCTGCCAGCCTGTACCTTACAGTTGTCCCCGAAACTTTAGGTACAATCTTCTTGGCAATGTCTGAATAGCTAGCCTGGCGATATTCAAGAACTTCCTCAACCATAGCATCATCCTGAGCCTTGAAAGTTTCGAGGTGTCTTCCTCTTTCTTCTCTCTCCTTCCCCTCTTGTTTTTTTTTTTTTTTCACTATGTCATGAACAGTACTAAGGAGGATGTTGAGATAGGTAGAAATTTCTTTCAGAAGCATGGTCTTTGCATGCAACCTTTATATTCTTCCTCTAGTCCATTGGCTGAGATGCTTGGAAGGAATAGATTTATGGGCATGGCTGCAAAGAATAGGAGCCATAATTTCTTATAATAAAAAATAAGAAATAATTAGAAGATATTGGGTGAGTGGTAATGATTTTTCTGGAAGGGAGGGTTGTGCGGGGTTGTGGAGGAATGATGGGTTGCCGCCCTTGGACGCATCCGGTTAAATTTGGCAATGAACAATGCAGACTTTATAATGATGGAGACACAACAGCACATATTGGCACGATATATCTGATATTCATATTCAATCATCCGTAGAGAATATATGGCTAATTTCAGATATGTCATGAACACTGCCCTTGAGTCCCCACCGTCGCAAGATCACAACCGAGAGTGAATGCCATACTTGGAGGGTGTTGTTGGCTGAGAATAGTGGTCTAATATACTCACCCGACAAATGCCAAGACCTGCACCGGTCTGTTTTAGGTAGGTTGTTGTGCCAAGAATCCAGATTTTTTAAACCATTCATCCATCCTCCCTCTCGTCTGATCGCGCACCTGCCCATCCCCATTAGATCCTACCGGTTAAACACAACTACCACAACCAAACCCCCCCTTGGTATTTGCCATCCCTAGAAAGCCTTCGGATTTACCCAGCATTAGTGACCTATACGTCTGCCTCCGCCTCGCTCAATGTCACCACCACGATCCACTCCAACGCTCGGGTCAGGGTCCCTGGGGCCTCACGATAAGGAGAGTCAGGAATCAGCACAAGCGACAGCGGTGGTGGAGCTAATGCAGGAGGCCGATGACATCCTGCAGGTGTACGAATGGTTCAAGGAAGCGTTTGATCAACACATGGCACAGTACCATGATGCAGGCGCGGTTTGGACTGTGACGTGATGGTGGTCGCAGAGCCAAAGGGTTCAGGTAACGAAATAATACTCAGGCATCATGGTGAATACGGCCACTCTCGTAAGGGCCAGCCCGGCTCTACACATGACTCAGGCGTTATGGAGCGTGGTGGTAATGGGGGTGGTTATACCAAGCATGATGGCGAAGGGTCCAGCAAGTAGTGTGATAAAGATACATGTTCACAATGGTGGGTTTTTCCGTCCTCTGTTTGTATTCGTCCACCCACCTACACTCCTGCAGACTGTCGTGAAAACTGGTGATAACATTTACTGGTGGTAGTGTTGGTTTGCAGTTCCGGCGCTGGTATACCTGACCCCGGTTTCGGGGGACAAAAATGTTTGTGCACCCGTACTGGGTTATTGGGGTTAATACTAGATTCTCGGTGTGTTTGCTCTTACTTGTTTCCTCGCTTCTTACGCTTGAGGGGAAACTGATTAGACATAGATTCTCTGGTTCGCGGCCTTCTATCGTTGGCCACTCTAATGGCGGGATCTCTGATGGAGAGGGGAAAGTAAAGGACGAAAAGTGTAAGATCAAGACGGAGAGTGGATATGCATTGTTTCCCCCTGGAACCGGCGAGGACCCCAAAGCATGTAAGATGAACCAAGCAACTGTCGGACTCGGTGTGATTCTATGGTAAACTCCTCACCCTGCATGCCGTTCATAAATTTCTGATGTAGACCTACATGCTCCTTACCAGAACGCAGTTGTAGGTGGTATCATCTTCCATTTTCTTCCATTTCTTTTCCTGGCTAGGTTTTCCTTTTGACTCTGGTGCGGATGGGATGGGTTATCTCCTTTTGCATTTTATAATATATCCTTTTGCGGCATGGAATAATGGAGAATGGTTTTTCAACTTGTATAACATTGAGTACAAACGGGGGATTTCTTGCATTGGGTTGGCGGCCGATCTGAACAGGGATTCGATCAGATGAAGGAACTCGGGGAGGAGGAAGTCGTTGATATATAGCTATTAGCTTCCTAATCGGAGCTTCGTGCGGTCATTCCATATCACTGGCTTTGTGCAGACGTGTCATATCACGGGTCACTGATGCCCACACCAACATCCATGCCTGCTCCAACTATCGCGGTATCATACCTGTTCTCACCAGTGTCTGGATGCCTGTGCACCAAGATATTTTTGCCAATTGCCAAGATATCTCCGGGAAGCCAGGTTGAAGTTTCCTGAAATACCCCTGTTCAAATACAGCAAAAGGTGAACAAGATGGTCGGTTTTGGATGTTAGGCACTATAGTGGAAAAGTAAAAGGTAATATAGAGCAGACAGTGGAACGTGCAGACAAGTTCATAGCTAGCTTCCAGATGTCTGTCCTCTATCACAACTGACAAGAGCAAGGAAGGAGAAAAAAGAAAAGAAAGAAAAAGGCTAGCATTTCTACATTTCCCCAACCTACCCGGATATGGAGAGGGCTTGGAAAACAGGCAGGCACAACAAACAGGCCAAACAAAATAAACCTCCCTCTCCTATGGTACCCACGCATTTTATCCCGTCTCTCAAATATCTCCCAGCCCAACCACACTTTACCATTCGACCCTCCCGATACCATCTTGCAGTTCTCAGAAATTCCCATAAATAGCGTCAAGAAACCTCATCAGTGTACCTCCAGACCTTTGCTCTAATGTGGTAGTGTGGGTCATAGTACGTTCTGAGTCATCAGGGTCTAGAACATCTCGTGTCCCAGATAAGGATGCACTGGTGCTATCCAAACCTGCTCTCTTACACTTCTTCATCTTAGCCACCAGGTGCGCGTGGTATTCGCTCAAAACCTTTCCTACTATCTTCTCTTCCAAGGACTCCTCCTTCAAGGCCCTCTCTGCACTGGGTATCCCCTAAGGCCAGTACCATTTTCTATGCGAGCCTCTAGTATAAAACTTCAGTCCGCCATCCTGTTCGTTGAATACTTCTATCCAGTTGTGGCAGGAACTGCAGCTGAGCTTAGAGACCCCAATGTAGCTAAATGGGGGGGCGTTATCCCAGTCATTCTCCTGTTTAGTTTGAAGGTACTGAATAAGCCTGCACTCGGAGTGGACTGGGCATACCCATCAGTCTGACTTAACCCATTTTAAAAGGTTTGCTGCACTGGGCCTCAGCCCATCATCATCGTACTCACCTGTCACGGCCACCTGGTCCGATATAGGAAAGGGGCATTGGACTTTTGGTTGCATATATTGGTTGTGGTTTTCTGGGTTGCATAGTAGGATTTCCTTGGTTTTATGATTGGGATAGGTTGCCGCGCGATGGATATTGGTGGAACCTGACGGAAGGATCGCGGCTGCGTGCCATGCCAAGAGTTTGCTTTTGTATTAGTGATCAGGGAGGATTTCCTAGCTATATAAGGGGGTGTGCCCCCTTATATTTTATGTTCTTCACG